CTGCCACGTTTCATGAAAATCGGTCCAGATTTACATATAGCTCCCATATATATGTTCGTCCGATTTAATGTAAATGGTGCACCAAAGTCCCTATATATCTTTCGATTTGCACGAAATTTGACATAGGGTACTGATTTAGGACGACAATGATGTGTGCTAAGTTTCGTGAAAATATGTTCAGATTTAGATATAGCTCCCATATAAATTGTTCACTAATGACACATTTGGCCGACCGGTGCACAATTTTGTACAATGTACTGAAGTTACTATAACCTTTCGTGTGTCAAGTGTTTTTTTAATCGGTTCAGGAGGAGCTATATCCTATATATACTTTCGTCCGATTTAAAGTAAATTGTGCATTAAATACCCATAGCTAGGTCGATTAACACAACGTACTGAAATTAATATAAATCAATCTCTGCAAGTTCCCTTGAAATCGGTTCAGAGTTAGATATAGCATAGCTTACATAGACTTATCATAGCTCAGATATAACATAGCTTATAAATAATCAATAGGTGCCTAATCGCGTGTGAAAAGTTTCTTTTAAATCTATTTACAAAATTTGGAATCGGTTGCAGAATTTATTGAGCATTTCAATTAATTATTTCTATTGCTATCTTTATTAGAAACAACCACGTCTATTTTATTTATCGGAATATTTAATTTTAAAATTAATAATAAATTAACTTTTGATGGTCGAATGGAAATTTGGTGCCTACTCGACTGCCTACCAGTCTGTCTGTCGGTGTGCCTATCTTCAATCAATTTTAATGAAATTATATTGTTCGGAAATTTCACAGATATCTATACTGTCAATCGAATGCATTTTAATGGCCTCATTTGTCGTATGGTTAATGTATCACACACACATACACAGACATACATACAAACACATACATATTTTGGCTTATTATAATCTATTCATAATTTATGAACTCTCAAATTTGAGTTGGAAATTTTTTTGGCAATATTTTTAGCCGACAAATTGATTTTATGTGATACAAAAACTAGGTTATGTATGTGTATGAAAAATGTATGTGTGTGTGTGTCCGTGAATATATTGTGGGTAAAATTGCATAAATCGAAAATGATTTTAATTTCATGTGAATTACATTATTCGAAAGTTAATGAGATCGAATTAGGCCAAATAGAAATTGAAATATAATTTTTAAAGAATATTTTTTCAACGTCTATACAAGGCGTGCATTTTTTAAAGAAGAGTTTTCAAGGCCTATACAAGGCGTGGATTTTTTAAAGAATAATGTTTCAAGGCTTATCCAAGGCCGGGATTTTTAAAGAATATTTTTCAAGACCTATCCTTGACATTCGACCAACTTCACCCTTATTCATATTTATATAGATTTCTCAGTGAACCTTCAGGATAGTATTTTGCCACACTGCTTTATCAAAGTTGTATATTTTCACTGTCAATTTTCATGCTTTTTATAAGTAGCTAATTTATTAATTTCTTTGTATATTCACTTTTTTGCACGTTTTATTCCTTGTTATGTTTTTTAAAATGTTGACAGTTCTTTTACACTTTTAGTAAAAATTACAAATAGTTGCTTAGTTTAGTTCTTCTCATTAGCACTCGTTTAGTCTAATTGCTTTCATTCAATCCAGTTCACTAACGTTTTTCTCGAAACCAATATCTTATGAAATAAAAAAGAACTCAAAAATCGAATCTCTTCTCATAATATTTTGTTCATTTCTCCATTATTTTGTATCTAAACTAAAAAACAAAACAAACTGTCATTCGTTCGCCCATTCGTATAATACTAACCTCCTACTATTACTACTACTACAAAAAAAAACTACTTCTACTACCACTCCTCGTAACTCGTAACAAAAAAAAAATCACACAAAACTAATAATTAAAATCGGAATGGTATCGAATGAACGTACAGTATGATGAGGAGACAACTGTTACGCCAGATTCGGGTAAAGATAGTAAGGAAGTATTGCACAGTGTTACATATCGACCACCATCATCGGGTGGCCCTCATACACCTCATAGTGGCCATCCACAACACCATAAGTCAACAACATGTTTGGGTGGATGTTCCGATCGCAAAGGATCTACAGTAAGTACATATAGATTCAACAGATGTAGATACATAATTTCCAGAAAATGGAAAATAAAACAACAACAACAACCTAGTAATCACATCTTAAAGTTATTTCTGATGCACCATTCAGCACTATATGAGATGAAACCCCATTAGGAATTGATTATGGAATTTAAGGATTTAATCAAAGTATTATAATTTAAGTTTTTAGAGGCAATAGCAAAACGCAGACCTACAAAGAAAATTATAGAAACAATTTTAGTATAAGAGGCGGTTAACAAATTTAGAGATCCTAATATTTATATATAGAGCAGAATAATTACCAGAAAAACACCCCTACACTGAAATCGGTCGATAACAAATTTTGTACACAGGAAAGTTGTAGATAACTACATTCCTACTGAGAAAAAAGTCGATAATAATGCGTATGCTGAGAAATATTATCGCTAACAACATTACTTTTACATTGACCGACGCCTTTTTATATCGACAACAAAGTTTTTCTCGATTAATGTTCCATCTTTTCCATTTAAACAACATTCCTTAACAAATTTCTACATAAAACTTGTCGATAAGTATATTAATATAAAGAAATGTGTTCGATACTAACTTATATGTATGTGGAGAAATATTATCGATAACAAATTTACTATCGCAAACAGTTTTAGATTACACCATTACTATAGAGATAAATTTACTATAAAATGTTTTCTATAAAGATTATTGATATTGGAATTTTCATAAAGATAATTTCTCGATAACAACTTATCACAATATAGTTCTCGTTAACTACTTTCCTTTAGAGAAATGTGAGAGATAATACCTGGTATGTCGAAAAATATAATCTATAACATCTTTCTTATAAAAAACATTATCGATAACAACATATCTACAGAGAAAAATAATCGATAACAACTTTTATTTATTGATATCTACATTCCTTTAGAGAAAAGTTATCGAAAACCACTTATCTAGAGAAAAGTTATCGAAAACAAATTATCTGTAGAGAAAAGTTATCGATAAAAACTTTTCAATAGAGAATAGTTATCGATAACAACTTTCCTGCTAAGAAAATTTTGTCGAAAACAACATATCTATAGAGAATTGTTATTGATAATAATTTGTTTAATAGAGAAAAGTCATTTTTCTGTAGAAAAAATTATCGATAATATATTTTCCATAGAGAATAGATATTGTTAACAGCATTTCTTTAGAGAAATGTTATCGATAACAATTTTTCTATAGAGAACAGTTATCGATAACAAATTTCCTGTTGAGAAAAGTTATCGAAAACAACATATCTATAGAGAAAAGTTATCGATAACTACTTTTCATCATCGATAAAAACTTTCTATAGAAAAAAGTTATCGATAGAATATTTTCTATATAGAATAGTTATTGATAACGGCATTCCTTTAGACAAAAGTTATCGATAACAACTTTTCTATAGCGAACAGTTATCGAAAACAACTTATCTATAGAGAAAAGTTATCAAAAGAACTTATATATGGAGAAAAGTTATCGATAACAACTTTTCTATAGAGAATAGTTATCGATAACAACATAAAAAGTCGTGAAAATTGATCGAAAACAACATAAAAAGTTATCGATAACATAATTCCTGTTGAGAAAAGTTATCGATAACAAATTTTTTATAGAGAAATTTTATATAACAAAATTTCTTTAGCGAAAAGTGTTTGATAACAAATTTTCTATAGAGAATATTTACCGATAACAAATTTTCTGTAGAAAATATGTATTGAGAACAAATTTTCTATTAAGAAAAGCTACCGATAAGTACTTATATATAAAGAAATGTTATCAATAACAAATTTCCGAAAGTGAAAATTCGTCGATAATAACTATTGTATATAGAAAATTAATCGATAACAACTTTTTTGTGAAGCAAAATTATCGACACGAAGCTTTGTTGTCGATAAGAATATTACAACTCGTTGGTGGTCGGTATTATGTATGGGAATTTGTCGATAATTTATTTTCTAAAGATAAATATTCCCGATAACATGTTTACCATAGATGAACATTATCGATAATACATTTTCTATAAAGAAACCCTAGCGATAACAACTATACAAGTTGGAATGTTATAGATTATGTTATAGATTAGCATAGCAAATAAATTTATTTATATACATGGCTAGGTTTCAAATTTAGACCATACAGTAGGACCCTTCGTATCCGAAATAAATCATCACGGTTTTATATTTTTTTTTATTTCAAAACTTCTCCATCAAGGTAGGTAAATTAGAATTTTTTCTTAGATACTAAACAAATCATGTCTCGTTATGTTGAATATAAACTAAATTTAAAATTAAGTCTCTAACTGAATGAAAATATTTGTATTTTGTATGGAAAACAATTAACTTTGTAGTGGATTGTAGCATGAAGCATTCTCTCTAATAAAAAACAAAACAAAAAACTTGTAAAAAAAATACTCAAAACTAATGCCTTGATGTAGATGAAAAAAAAAACAAAAATTACTTGAAACACAAACGCTTTTATGATTAACCAACAAAAAACGGATTGAAATGAATGAAGAATGATGACACATGGCAACTGCTCATTTCTATAACTAAGCAAAATGTCATATACAGGAAATGTCAACTTAGTGTGCTTTTCAACACAAAACAAAAGTTAGCTCCTTTTTTTGAACTACTTTTTCTCTCTTCATCTCTAACCACATACAATTTAAGATTAAAAATGTAATCAAGTAACTCACCCCAAATCGTTGTATTGTGAAATGAGAAAAATGCCAAGATAATGATGCTGTAACTCCCTCTCTCCCTCTCTCTCGAACACTTTTATAGGGAGCAATAACGTTATTGAGAGAGAACATCATTATCTCCGCATTAGATTTCGTTTCGATATTTGAGAAACTAATCGTAGAGCAGTCATCTATGTTTTTTCAGTATTCGATTAATTTGGCGGATGAGGCACGCGACAACCACGCCCAGCAAATCGAAAGGGCGGAAATTGCCAATCTGGTGCGCAGTCGCATGGAGTCGTTGAATTTACCCACCATTGATTATGATGATGTCAGCGAAAAGCGCAACCATCTCTCGTATGTGATAATCAATCCGAGCTGTGATCTTAAATTAGAAGAAGGCGATGTAATGTGAGTACACTCTCTCTCTCCCTTTACACACCTAACAAATAATGATTTCCTTTTTTACAGATATTTAGTACGACCTTCACCCTTCTCAGCCCAGAAAACCTTTGAACGTCATAATTCACGACGCAAATCAAACATATCATTTTGTTCCAACATCAATTTGGGTGCGGCCTGCGGTCCCAATGTCGGCCCAGTGGGTGTGGGCGGCAATGCGGGTGCCGGTTCGAGACGTGGATCGGGCATGGCTGGCCTCAATCCCATGCAAATGCAAAGTGTCCAGACATTGGCCGGGTATGCTTCGCCACGCTGCACGCCGCCAATACAACAAATTAAATCCAATTCTCTTTCTCTACCCGACAGTCCTACGGTTGTTGGCTCGCAGCGCGGACGGAGTAACTCATTACGGGTTGGCTATAATTAAAAATTCCACACCTATGTTTTTTTCGTTTGGTCTTGTTTCTTGGCTTTCGTTTGGTTTCGGTTTTTCTTCTGCTTTGAATTTTCTACGCAAGCTAATGTGCGTCTGTTTGTCCGCTTTCGAATTTAGGTTTTGTTTTGTCTTCCCGTGTTTTGTGTTATCTGTTAAGGACCTGTGTGTATGCAGGTTAATTAGTTTGGAAACAACATTGCAATATTGCTGATCATTAAACAGTTGCCTTATTTCACACAGTTCCTTGGCAGATAAATGTGTTTTCCACCAAAAAATTCTAAACTTTTTGTTGAGTTGTTTTTTCTTTGTTCAATGCTAAGCATATTTTTGTATCAAAGGCTTCATTATGCTATGTTTATTTTTGTAACTTAAATTCCATCGCTATATTTCCATACGAAATTCGATAATTAATTTTGTAAAAGTGATCGATAACAACTTTTCTATAAATAAGATTTTTCTATAACAACTTTCCAACGGCCGAAAATGTATTGATAACTTAAAATCTATAGAGCAATGTTGCCGATAGCAACTTCTTTATAGAGAAAATGTACCGATAATAACTTTCATAGGCAATAAAATTATCGATAACAATTTTTTATTAAAAATTTTTTTTAGATAACAATTTTTCCATAGAAAAAATATAAAAATTTCAATAGTATCGATAACTAATTACATAGGGAAAAACCTTTATAACTTATCGATAATTATTTGTCCATGAAGATAAATTGTCAAAAACGAGTTGAACAAGTTGTTATCGATAAATTTTTCTTTCAAAATTAAATTATAAAGCAATGTTATCGATAATAATGATTTTTGAAGAAAAGCACCCAATTTCCAAATTTCGATAACAAATTTCCGGTCGTCTAAAAGAATTTCCGATAGAAAAATGTCATCGATAACAACATGTTTGTGGAGTAAAACTTTTGATAACAACTTTTCGGTAACATATTTTCCATTGAGAAAAATCGATAATAAATTTGTTATTGAAAAAAGTTATCGATAATGATTTTTTACTGAGATAAATTTTCGATAATAATTTTTTTATTGCGAAAACTTATCGATAACAACGTTTCTATAGGGAAAAATTATCTATAATAAATTTATGGATAAAAGTTATCGATAACAATTTTTCTATATATAAAAATTATCGATAATAACTTTTCTATTGATACAAGTATCGATAGCAACATTTCTATCGATACAAGTGATCGATAGCAACTTTTCTATAGAGAAAAGTAATCGATAACAACTTTTCTATAGAGAAAAGTCATCGATAATAAATTTTCTATAGAAAAAAGTTAACGATAATATTTTTCAAGTTTAGAAAAGTTCTCGATAACCATTTGTTTATTGAGAAAAGTTTTCGATATCATAATTTTACTATAGAGAACATTTATCAATAATAAATTTTCAGAGAGAAATTTAACGATAACAACTTTTCTATAGAGAAAAGTTTTCTAAAGCAACTTCTCCATATTTCTATAGCGAAAAGTCATCGGCAACAATTTTTCTGTAGGGAATGTGTATCGATAAAATAATGTCTATATAGAAAAGTTATCGATTGCAACTTATTGAAAGAGAAACTGTATAGATTACAACATTTATATATAGAAACGTTATCGATAACAAGTTTTCTATAAAGAAACGTAATTGATAACAAATTTTATATACATAAAAATCTTCGAGAACAATTTTCTGTCAAGATAAATGATCGATAAAAGTTTTTTTTTTTTTGAGAGAAAGTATATCGATAACAAACGTAACATACATAATGTGATCGAAAACAATTTTTTGTAAAGCGAAAATATGTCGACAATAATTTTAATTTTAAAAGATTGTCGATAATCAATTTCTGTAATGAACTCTTCTCAATTTCTCCAGACCGATGTATCGGTAACAAATTTTCTTCGATGAAAGTTTATCGAAAATTGATTTTCTAAAGAACATATTAGAATTATTCTTTAAATGTAGTGTTGATAATATTTTTTGTTTATTAAGTTTGTTCCTGTGTTTTGTTATTGTTGTAATTTTTTGTAGTAAAATTAAAAATTTTGCCTCAACTCGGCCTTTGCTTTCCTGTAGAAATTGGTAATCGTTGTTCTCCCCCAATTGTGTTCGATTTCTTTTTATTATTTGTCTTACTAACACATTCTCATTTAACTATCACCACTAAAATAATTGGCTGCACTATTTTTTGTACCACTGTGATTGTGTGCTAACTGTCCTAACCCTTACCCCTACAAAAAAAAAAAACTATTAAAACCTAAAAATTTTGGTTCAAAATTAAAAAAAAAAAAATTATCTCAAATATTTTTGGTATTTGAGTTAATTGGGAAAAAGCCACTCGTAATAGAACATCACGATTATCACCACCACCACCACTATGAGCACTACCACCAACACCTCTTGTATGTGTGTGTCTGTGCGGAAAAGGTTTATTGATCAAGGCACTTCTTGGATGGTTACACCAGCTGTGAAGATGAATTCTGATGACAGAGGACATTGTCAGTGCATCCCGTCGTCCATGAGTCATGCGTGTTACGATTTATCTCTCACCACAAATACCGTTGTTGATGTGTTAATGCCATTACATTATTTTATTAATTTGATTGGAAACAAATATTATAGTTTTGTAAATTAATTAATTGTTGACAATTTATTACTTTTAAATTAATTAATTGATGTTTTGAAATTCGAATTTTTCGAATAACTTTCTTAAACGAGAAAAATATCCTTTAGAATAGTTTTTATTTTTGGGTTTCGGACCTTGTTTTTTCTCTCTCGCCCGTTTGTCTTTTAGATCGATAATGATATTCTGCTGCGTCGTTCATCATCACTGCGTCAGGGTTTACCCAATGTGGGCATTAATACGGGTCGCCGAAAATCTTCACTGGAGGAGATTGGCATTAGCCATTTTACCACACTGATGCAGGCCACCAATCACACAAATCCCATTAAAATTGCCTTAAATGGCAGCATTGGTATGGAGGTAAGTCAAGCAGAACAGAGCGATAACAATTTTATATAAATAATAATACTAATAATCGATTTTCCTCAAATGTGTTTCCCATAGAATCGCATTTCATTACAGGTCACACCACCCGAAGAGCCAACACCCATTCTGGGTGTACCCTGTATTGTCCCAAGTGCACAGAGTGGTGGCATCAATCCCTCCTCATTGGGTGGTAGTGGTGGAGGCGGCGGCGGAGGTGGCAGCGGTGGTTCCACCCTCAACATTAACACAGCTGACTTGGCTGGCAGCTCGAATCCAAATAGCCCCCTACAAGTGCCCCAGGATCAATCACAAAACTCCGCTGTGCAATCGCCCCAACATCTGCAGGGTACAATTGTATGATACAACCTTATGTGGGGTCGCAGACTCCGCTCTTCAATATCGAAGAAAAATAAATGGATTTAATATCGAGCCAAACGAGATTGAGTTGACATCGGGGTGCTGCGACCCAGTTTGGACCCAGTGTACCATAGTCGTAGTCTAACAACAAAAACAATAACAATTAGTAAATTCAAAATCAACGATATGTTTATGAATAAAGAATTTAATTTAATATTTAGAATTTAATTTAAATTTATATATCGATAAGTTACAAAAGCGATAACAACAACAAAAGAAAATGTTATTCATAAACACACCCACATACATACACAAAATATGATTTTGTTTTATGTTGTACAAAAAAAATTATTTCGATGCTGTGAACATTTTATAAATGAGAAAATGTTATCGATAATTTTTCTTTAAAGCCGGAGGTTTTCGATAACAACAACATTACAACTTTTCTCTATTGTCAACTTTTCTCTATAGAAAAGTTATTCTCGACAACTTTTCTCTATAAAAATGTTGTTATCGAGAACACTTCTCTATAGAATAGTTGTTATCGACAACTTTTCTTTATAAAAAAGTTGTTATCAACAACTTTTCTTTATAAAAAAGTTGTTTTCAACAACTTTTCTTTATAGAAAAGATGTTATCGAAAACTTTTCTTTATAGAAAAGTTGTTATCGACAACTTTTCTCTATAGAAAAGTTGTTATCGACAACTTCTCTCTATAGAAAAGTTGTTATCGACAACTTTTCTCTATAGAAAAGTTGTTATCGACAACTTTTCTCTATTGAAAAGTTGTTATCGACAACTTTTCTCTATTGAAAAGTTGTTATCGACAACTTTTCTCTATTGAAAAGTTGTTATCGACAACTTTTCTCTATAGAAAATTTGTTATCGACAACTTTTCTTTATAGACAATTTGTTATCGACAACTTTTCTCTATAGAAAATTTGTTATCGACAACTTTTGTCTATAAAAAAGTTGTTATCGACAACTTCTTTCTATAGAAAAGTTGTTATCGAAAACTTTTCTCTATAGATATATTGTTATCGAAAACTTTTCTCCACAGAAATGTTTTTATCGAAAAATTGTTGTTATCGACGACTCTTCTCTATAGAAAGGTTGTTATCGACAAATTATCTCTATAGAAATATTGTTATCGACAACTTGTCTGTATAGAAGAATTGTTATCGATACATTTTCTTTAAAGAAATATTGAAAGTGACAAGTTTCCGTTATACAAAGTAAATTATCGATAAATTTTTCTTATTTAATTTTATTAATTATTCAAAAAAAGTTATGAAAAATTAATAGAACAACTGAGTTGTACTAGTCATCTTAAAACATTAAAATTGTTATTTCATTCGTTATGTTTGTACATACTAACATTTATTATTTTGTTTTAAACTAACCCTGGTTTTATTTGTTACACAAAATCCCTTACGAAAAATTAATAAAAAAATTATTTATTGAACAAAACTAAATTGTTTAAATTGTAATTGTCAATTTTAAAAAATCATACATTAATTATAACAAAATTAAAAAATATATTAAAAAAATATAACTAATTTCAAAATCTGATTTTACAGTTCAAAAAAACTGAAAAAAAACATAAACAAAGTGTGTTTTGGGAACAAAGAAACTGTAGTTAAAAAATTAAAAAAACAAATATTTGAAAATAAGCCTAGAGAAAAAAATAAACAAAAAAATATATGAATAGGCATGATTAAGGGACAAAGAAAAATAGTAGTTACTACAAATACAACACAAAATGTAGATAAAACATAAATGCAAGTTCATTACTATTGGTTTTCACTTTTAATGTATTTGGTTGGGGGGCAATTGGTTAAAAACTTTCATTTAAAAACCTCATAAATTTTATTTTATTTTTTTTCAGTAAAATTGATTCTTTTGAGTTTTCAAAATTTATTGTAAATAGCATTACATCCATTAAAATGTTTTTTTATTTTCGTTTTATCACCTCCCCAAGAAATTAATAATAATGTTTAGAATTAAGCCAAAAAGCATTAAAATAAAAAAAATGAAAAAAAATACATTTGAAAAAAAGAAGACGCTTTGGTAAACAATAAATGCTTTACATGAATTTAACAAAGAAAAAAATAAATATGATAAAACAGAATAAATTGTAACATTTCATTTATCATGTTGACCTATATCTGCCACTCTTTATTTTTCCCTAGCTAATACTTTGCACAAAACGGAACCAATTGTTTAAATGAATATTACAATAAGAACAATAAATAAAAATTATTAAGTTTTTAATAAAATAATATTATTGAAAATAACTTTTCAATAGAGAAAAGTTGTCGATAACAACTTTTCTATAGAGAGAAATGTTATCGATAGCAACTTTTCTATAGAGACGGATTATCGATAAACTTTTCTATAGAAAAGAATTATCGATAAAACCTTTTCTATGGAGAAAACTTATCGTAATAACTTTTCTATAGAAAAAAAGTCATCGATAAAATTTTTTCTATACAGAAAATATATCGATACTAACTTTTCTATGAAGAAAGGTTATCGATAATAGTTTTTCGAATGAGAAACTTTATCGATATTAACTATTGTATAGAGAAAATTTATCGATAACAAATTTTCTTTGGAGAAAAATTATCGATAATACATTTTTTACAGAGAAAAGTTATCGATAATAAATTTTCTATAGAGATAGGTTATCGAAAAAAATAACTTTTATGTAGAAAAAAAGCTATGGACAACAGCCTTTCTATGGAGATAAGTTACCGATAACAACCTTTCTATGAAGAATAGTTATCGATAATAATTTTTCTATAGAGAAAAGTTATCGAAATATTTTTTTTGATGGAGAATAGTTAACGACATTAACTTTTCTATAGAGAAAATTTATCGATAGTAAGTTTTCTATAGAGAAAATTTATCAAAAGGAACTTCTCTATAGGGAAAAGCTATCGATAATGACTTATTTACGGAGAGAAGTTATCGATAATAACTTTTTTTAAAGAGAAAAGTTATCTATATAATATTTCCATAAAGAAAAGTTATCGAATAAATGTTCTGTAGTGAAAAGTTATTTTTTTGTTATTTGAATTTTGCCTTGTAAGGGCAGTGATCATTTGAAAGTAATTTTAAGTGGTTATTTATACTCTTTCGAGTCGAGCTTGATGATCAAAGTTTTGCAATTATCGATAAAATCTTTTCTCTAGACATTTACAATTTTTTATAGATATTTACATAAGATTTGCCCTTGTTTTCGTTTCACCAATTAATTGGATCAAATGTATTGGTTCTGATAACCTCTAACCCCTTCTCTTATACAAAAAAAAAAAACAATAATGCCTTGTTTTCCGCTAAAAAATGAAGAAAATCCAAACAATGAAGATATTATAGAATAATATAGTAAAAAATTAAATAAAACACAAAATCTGTATATATTCAAAATTCAAAAAATCGGACATGACAAAAAAATCTATGTCTCTTTACTGAACCTTTGTAGACAACTAACAATTATTTTTGCACCTTTGTAGAATATTAAACAACAACAACAACAAAAAAGCTGAACCCTAAATAAAACAATTATACGACAAAAAATTTGGATTTTAATTTTCAATACCCAATAGGAAAAAATAAATACACAAAAATAAACCCATTATTGAGAAAAAAAAACAACTATGTACAAATCTATAAATAAAAAATAAATCTATTAAAAAATATAAAAAATGAAACAAAAAATAAATTTTAATTAAACAAATTGATTTAAATTGTCTTCGTTATTAATTTAAATATTTGTTTTTATTTCCTAATTTCATCCTTTTTTATATTTCTATACAAAATAATTTATTAAACAAACATTACCTCTGTTTCAATATTAAAAAAATATCTACTTTTAAATTTAATATTTTATTTATTAATTTTTTTTATTTTATTTTTTAATGTTTTTTTATTTGAGTTTCCATTTTTTAAACACAAATTTAAAAATATATATATTTAAAAAAGAAACTAATATAACAAAAAACGAAAAACCCCTAGAGAAATGATATAAGAAAATGTAGTTATACGAAATGAACGGGAAAATTGAAGTATATATATATAAAAAATAGAATTATGCAAGAATATTAAAGTAAAAAAAACAACTAAAAAAACAAAACTGAAATGACATTGTTCAATAATGAAAATAAATAAATTCTAAACTAAATATTCACTTTGTTTTATTTCCATAATACCAACCAGAATCTCAAGAACACATTTTTATTGATAAAAAAATCATACAGGACCCCTAGGACTATGGTTGATTTTTTCTATATAAAAAACTGGTCCACTGTGGGTGAATTTTTCTATAAAAAAATATTACACAGGACCCCAAGACTGTGGGCATTTTTTTATAGAAAAATATCATACAAAACTCCAACACTGTAGGAGTTTTTTTTCTATTTCAAAAAATCACACAGGCCCCCTAGGACTGTGGTTGATATTTTCTATATAAAAAAATGGTCCACTGTGGGTGAATTTTTCTATAGAAATATATTACACAGTACCCCAGGACTTTGGTTGTTTGGACCCCAGGACTGTGGGTGCTTATATCTGTAAAAAATCACCCAGGACACCAATCAAGAAATCAAGAAAAATTCATTCTTTAAAAAATTATTTTTTTCTTTAAAAAATAAACGATCTATTGGCAGTTGAAAAAATATTCTTTAACTAATTCTTGCCCCTCTTAAAACTTGGATTAATATTCCTAATAAAGATCTCCAGCCTATTGGTACAAAAATTTCCTTAGGAAATCCATTCGTGTTGTTTTTAGTAAAAAATACCATCTTAACAATTTTTTCCTTGTAATTTATTGATACACATAAAAACTACATTACTTCCCCTATCCGATAGTGAAAGTTTCATTCAAATATCACCATTCGTTGCCGAGTTATGGCCATTTGAACTTGACCCTCTGTCCAAAATATAGCGGCTACACGATTCTGTTTGCCTGGTACGGCAAATGGGAAAACTGAAGAAATTGCAATGCCACGAAAACAGAAAAATGCAGAAGTGCTGCCAAATTGTATGTTTTCTACTTTCAATGTTAGTTTGCGAAATTCTGAGCATACTTTTAGGCGTTGCAAAATGCCGAAAACAATTTGGCAGCACTCCCTTCATTTTGCTGGTTTTGTGCCATTGCAATTTCTTCAGATTTCCCATTTGCCGTACCAGCAGCGTGACCGTTGTGCCACTAAAGTGGCAATTTTGCCACTTTTTTTCGCCTTTGCTACTTTTGTGATACTTTTTAATTTTGATACAAAATGTGCCACTTTTTGAATTTTTGTGAAACTTTTTGTTACTTTGTGTCACTTTTTTAAAAAAGTACATAAATGTAAGCGATTATTCATAAAACAAATTCGAGTGACTTACGACCAAACTCCTTGGTTTTGAAAAATATGTCATTTATTTTTGTTTTGAATCAGAAAACCTTTATAAACATAAATAAAGGTTTGGTCGTAAGTGACTCGAATTCGTTCGTTTGGAATTTTACAAAAACAGGCTGTAAGTAATTAAAAAATAAATGTTATTCAATAACAATATATGGTCTGTTCCCTTGCTGCAAGAATCTACTACTTTTTACTACGATAACAAATTTGCCTTATATGATATCGAAAAAAATAGTAAAATCTAGTATATTCTTGCAGTACAGGAAAAGACCAATAGTATATACCGCTTATATATTGTAAGAATATGTGATTTTATTTAGTTTTTTTCATTTTACTGTATATTAAAATACACATAAATGAATTATTTGTAATGTTTTATATAGTTTTTTATTAAATAAAAAGTAAAAAAAGTGTGCCACTTTTTGTGACACTTTTTCAGAAGTTATGTGCTACTTTTTTTAAAAAATGATACTTTTTGTGATACTTTTTGAAAATTTTCAGCGGTCACGCTGCGTACCAGGCAAACAGAATCGTGTAGCCGCTATATTTTGGATACATGGTCAATTTCAAATGGCCATAACTCAACGATAAGTGGAGATATTTGAATGAAACTTTCACTATTCGATTAGTGAACTATTGTAGTTTTTGTGTGTATCAATAAAATACAAGAAAAAATATTCGAAGTTAGTTTTAATCTACATTTTTCTTTAAAATGGCTCCCAGGACTGTATTTTCATATAGAAAAAAAAATTCCTTAAAAATACTTTTAAATAAAAATCATATTTTTAAATATATTAAAATTAATTAAATTTATTGCAGTAAAAAAGATAGCGATGATAATGGTAGAAAAATGTTTCATTTTGTTTCTGATATGCAAATTGAATAGTTGTTGTTTTTGTTTTTTTTTTTGTGAGTGATTAAAAAAATTATAAATTTTCTTTTTAATAAAAAAAAATACATACATATTATAATTACATATACATGAATTAATTAACAAATTATAATGGTTTACACGCACACGAAAATATTGTATAGTATTACGAATGAATTTATTTTTGTAGTCCACCTACAACACACTTACTATATATCTGATCTTATTAAGTACTCTTTAGAGGTTGGTAAAGGGATTGGGGACATTGCACAGCTTCGATTGGGCTGTACATTTACAACTTTTACCCGAGGGGGCCTTACGATTGACCAAACACAGGCGGCCATCCGAGCAGCCACCATTGTTGATTTGACAGGGGCTATCCATTTGGGAGCAGGTATCCTCCACTGAGGTCATGGCATACATTTTGTGGCTGCCAAAGAAGGGAATTTGTAGGCCTTTTTGGCGATTGCCAAAAATGTCAACACTTTCGAGTTTTTTACTGGAAAATGCAAGAAATTAGTGTTTCGTTTTGGAAACTTATAAACAATATCCTTACGTTGTCCAATCGGTCCAATAGAATTGATCCTGGGTATATACCAAACCGAAGGGATAGGTCAATTCATTGGAAATAGTCCTAATCTGTTTGCCATAGGGATCAATACATTCCACCTTTTTGGTACCGGCATCAGCAAAGCACAATTCACCAGAACGTTCCAAAACCACCAAAGAGTTAGGCAAGGTAACACCTTCTTTACCCAATAACAATTCACGTCCAGTACCATCCAAATCGGACATTTCAATTTTGGGTGACTCACGGTTCCAATCGGACCAATATAATCTCCTACAAGCAGAATGAGGAATTAAACAAATAATTCATTACTTCTCTTTCTCCCTCAACTTACTCTCTGTAGGGATCAATGGCAATGCCTCTGGGATTAACCAAATTCTTGTTGATCAATACCGCCCTCAAACTGGGATCTTCCAAGCTGGCCACTTCAATGGTATCCTTAACGGAATCGGTCCAATAAATACGACGGGATATGGCATCAATAGCAATACCTTCAGGAGATTCAATATCTAGAAAGGAGAGAGGGTGAGAAAATAAAAATTTTGCAATTTACGATTATGGTTCGGACTTACCTTCACCAATAAATGTCTTTACATCACTGCCATCATATTTGGCACTGACAATTTTCTTCGCAGAAATATCGCCCCAATAAATGCGACCCTCTACGCAATCCTTATCCAAGCCAATAGCCATGGAGGCCACCGAAATCGGTCTTACATTTTTACCATTCAAGGGTACGCGCACGATGACCACACCTTGGGATACCAACAGGAAACCGGAATCATGTTGTTTACGTTCCATACACAAGGAGCCATTGCCATAGAAACCTGGAAGGACACATAAAAAGAAAAATATTGGAATAAAGAAGAGGTATTGAAAGAAGATCGGAAAAATTCTACAGTCCTGGGGCCAGAAAATTTTGCTATAGAAAAAACTCAGTCCAGGAGTCGGAGATTTATTTCTATAGAAGAAATCTACCCCCTTCGTCTTTCATTTTTTTTTTTTTTGACTGCTGTACAGTATTGAAATATTTGTCGAATTTAATTCATTTCAAAATTTTTAAGTCCAAAAAATTCCAAATGTCCCCTTTCAAAATTCCGTTTTCTAAACTTCCGCATTTCCTTCCTTCAAAAAACTGGTATGGGTCTATAAATCATAACCAATGGAAATTAAGAAACTATACCACCAAACGTAAAATGGAATCTCTCAAAGTCAACAGTTGTGAAGACCCTAATGGATTACCTAAACGAATTTCCACCTTTCAAGGTTTCAAAGAATTCTTCGGTCATCCCTTAACCTGGCATCGGAATTATGGATACTTCAATATTCTATTAGGTCTAACAATATTTGCCTATATTTTTTGCACCACATGTCCTTCGGAGAAGCCGCGAGAAATGTCAAATGATTCGCGGTCGAAGTGATAATTCAATTCGTTAGATTTTGTTCTGGAGGTAAGTAATAGGTCTACAAATTCCGATATATTGAAAATGATTATTCAGCAGTCAATGGGTCACATTCTGTAGGGATTTATGACCCTGAGATTCCCAACTTACCCTTGTTGCAGACGCACACCAACCCATTGTTGGTGGACAAACATTGGGCATTCATGTCACACAGCTGAGGAGTGTTCAAACAGTTCTGATCCTCAATACAGACATAACCATCACCATTGTAACCGGCATGGCATTGGCACTCATAGTAGGCAGGGTCCCTATAAAAAGAAAATTCCTATTAAAAAAACTCCAAAATTAAACGTTTAAACTTTAAACTTACTCAGTCGGTTCACAGCTAGCATGTGCACCACAATTATACTGGACATTACATGGCACCGGTTTGGCCTTGCATCCAATAGCCGCATCACCCTCATAACCGTCCATACAATCGCAATATTTGACATTTTGAACATGATCCAATTTGCATATGGCATTGGCACCACAGAACACCGCTCCACAGCTACCAGCCAGGACACACATATCGGACATATCACGCTCGTAGCCCTTCAAGCATTGGCACACATCATTATCACAATAGGCATTCAGACCGCAATCCAAATCTTCCAAACATTCAGGAGCCAACGCACAACGGAAACCATCACCCTCATAGCCACGTTTACATTGACATTCGGAACGGCCCAAGGCTTCATTGTAATTGCATTCGGCTTGTGGGTCGCAGATTTCGGGTTTCTGAAGGAAAAAATCCCAAGAAAATAAATTCGGGTTTCTTTTGAGATTCGAAAATTTACTTACCACAGCACAGGACTCATCAATAATGGCACAGGTGTAACCATCACCATAATATCCTGATTTGCAGGTACACATATGTCTCAATTCCAATTCATACCATTCGCAGGTGGCATTGGGATGGCAATTGAATTCGACATCGCAGGGAACTGAAAAATAAGAATTTTAAGGATGAGTAACAAATCTCACAAATTTTGCTAAAAATCAAAGTCCGCGGGACAGTCTTTTTTTATAGAAAATAATCGATGGACCCGAGGACTCCCTTTTTGCTATAGAAAAAAGATCGCAGGACACCAGGCCTTTTTTCTATAGAAAAAAAAAAATCGCAGGAAAAAAGTTCGCAATACACCACGACTACCTTTTTTCTATAGAAAAAAGTTCGCAGGACACCAGGACTGCCTTTTTCTATAGAAAAAAGTTCGCAGGACAACAGGACTGCGTTTTTTCTATAGAAAAAAATCGAAGGACCCCAGGACTACATTTTTTCTATAGAAAAAAAAAATCGCAGCATCCCAGGACTGCCTTTTATCTATTGAAAAAAATCGCAGGACCCCAGGACTGCATTTTTGTCTTTAGAAATTTTTTTTACTAAATCCTGCGATATATTATTTCTTCTTCATAAAACTCACCCAAATCCTCATGTTTCGATTCACCATTATACTGGCCCACCCAGCGGCACATTTGTATGTCCTCCATAAGTTCATAGCCATCATCACAGTTACAGTCGCCGAAGAAATTGCATCTAGGTTCAATATCAGGTTCTTCATAGGATAGCTTAACACACTTGCCATTTTCCCAGACTTCATCGAGATCACAGTTGCTGGCACAATAGAAGCCGTCACCGCTGAAACCTTCACGACAAATACATCTGCTTTCCAGGCAATCGGCATAGGGGGAACAGTGCTGCAAAGGAGGAAGAACATAAGAACCCATTTTGAATTTTAGAAAAAATCTACAACTTACGAAGCAATCATCATAGTGATTATAAACCGGCAATGGTGTACTGGAGGTTGGCACTGGCAAGGGGAATGGTTGCACATTAATTACTTGTTCGGTCTCAGTTTCAACATGTTCGGTATGGTCTTCATATTCCTGTTGTTGTGGCGGTACAACCTGGACAATGGTACCGAAATTTTGTCCACCAACTGGGGACTCAATGTTATCGGCCACGGTATCATTGTTGAGGCAGCGATAACCATTGCCTTCATAACCTTCGAAGCAAACACAGGCGAAACCTCCCTCAGTGTTGGAACAAACGGCATGTTCGTCGCACACATGGGTACCCAAGGCACACTCATCGATATCGACACACACCTCTTGGCCAGCATCATTTACTTGTGGTCCATAACCATGGATACAATCACAGCGGTAGGTGTCCTCATAGGGAATACAGACCATGTTATCACCACAGATGGCAGTGCCATCGGTACAGGCATTGGAGATGGCGCTGACACCCACGGAGGTCAAGATACTGGTACGCAAAGCCTGATCGCGCTCAAAGAAGTCCAACATAATTTTCGAAATCTTTTGGAAATATGTGGTACCGGCAATAGCATGCTTGACCTCCTCATCAGCCACACAACGTTCGAAGTAGATGTTCTGTTCCAATTGGAAGTTAATAACACGATTTTCTTCGGGCACTTCAATGACATGGGCCTGAATGGAATGCAATTCATTGGCGGACACAAATTCATATTCCTCGGTGAATTCAGCCATGTGCAATTTCAGATTGTGATCCAACTTGGGAACTTGACCGTGAATATCGATTTTCAACGACAATTGATCCCAGTAGTTCAAACCCTCATAGGTTTGGTTGATGATCAGAACTTCGCCACTTTCAAAACTTAACTTCGAGGTGTGGACAAATTCACCCCCGGTCAATTGGTAACCGTTCAAGGTGTGGTTCAATGGTTTGGCGAATAACCAACCAATGGAGGTAACCAAAGGCAAGGCCAATCGCAAATTCGAACCCAATTCGGTGGTGATGGGGGTAACGGCTGTGTAACTACGGCCATCAGCTGTCACCACATATGATTGCAATTTGGAGCCATCGTTAATCATTTCACCATTAAGTTCACCGGTAAGGGAGCCAGTGACACGTACAGGTAAATCGTCTTTAATGCATACGGCTCCATTGCCATAGTATCCCGAATCGCAAAGACAGCAGTAACCTTCTTCCTTATCGACACACATGGCGTTCTTGTTGCATACCCTTTGGCCAGCCTCGGCACAGGTTTGGGCCACGGTAGGGGATTCAGTAAAGGTTTCTTCATTGGTGGGAGCTTGGACATTTTGTTCGTAGTCGGTGGGACCGGCACGGTACAACCAGACACCAGCAATGCCGACATTGGATTTGTCAGATAAGAAACGGGCCTAAAATACCACAAAAAGAGAAAGGGTTGAGATTTTAAGATGTCGGGTATTAATTGTCTCTTCTACTTACGTTCTCTGTTCCTGAGCCGTCCAAATTAAAGTAACGACCATCCTCGGCCACAAAACCAGCCTGGGCTCTGATATCAGGCAAGCCCAATGGTCCATTTTCGGCCTGCAACCAATTCAAACCACCCTCAGGATATAGGAATTGGACAAAGGTATCTTCATCATCGACAATGAGGGCAACCTAGAAAATCCGACAAAATAGTTTATTTTTATTAACCTATCTAATATTATTTTTCAATTTTTACCTGGAAAGTATTTTGCATATCATTTTTACCCTCAAAGTATCCGACATTCTTCCATGTGGCCACAATCAAATCGGTGGCCTCAAAATCCGATTTTTCATTGTAAGCATAACGCACCAATTCACTAACTTTTTGCAATTGCTCGGGATCTTGAGAACTGAAAATCGATATCGAGGTTGTTTCATTTGCCTCCGTGGTATCCACATTCGAATAGAAACCAGCTATTGAGGGATACTCAAAGGGAAATGGTTGATTGATATATTCGGGAAATTCAATATTAAATGTCAATATGCCATTGGTATTGATCTGAAAGAAAATTTGAAAAAAGAAGGGAAATTAATGTAAAACATAAAAAAATACGAAGGAGAACAACAATTCTAAAGGTCTGTAATTTTTTAAACGTCCTTATTTAAAATATTTTTGCAGGTCTACCAGAAAATCTAGTCTAGGTTTTTTAAAAATGCGTTCTAAAGGTCCAGCCATTATTTTGTGCCAAATTTTAAGTGTATAACAGTTTTTTAACTGGTATACAAAACTGTTATACACTCAGATTTTCTTCTTCAGTGAACTGTTGAAACAGTGAACTGCTTAAATACGATTGGAACTTAAAATATGTATATTACACTAAATTTCTGACACATTTCATTGTGTATAACAGTTTTAAAACTGTTATACAAAACTGTTATATGCCCAAATTGTATGCGAATTTGTAATTATAAAACTTGTCGGTACAAATTGACAATTCACACATTTTTTTAATGTATAACAGTTTTAGAATATTTAGTGAAAACTGTTATAAGCTCAAAATTTTTGTGAGTTTTAAATTTAAGATTTTTTTTGCAACCACACGAACTACATCATTTGTGACTGCAAAATCCTTTCCCCTAAAAAGACAATCTCTTTCTTTCTTCTTTTTTCGATTTAAAATATTAACCACAACCAGAACATATCGTAATAAAAATATCCACTCAATATAATTGTTTTCTTAGTGTTGAAAAAACATAAGAAAATTATGGTGGGAATTTCCACACCACCAAATGACACATTCAATTCGTCATACTTGACTTGGACGCCAATCAATTAGCGGGGTAATAAATTCTCATCTAAGTACTTAACCCAAAAGAGGAGACCGACTGTTGACTTGAAGTGCCTCACAAATAAAGATCTTCAGATGACAATATTAAGGACGACAGGCTATTAGGGAAAACAAAACACAATACAGAACCCACTTGAAAGTCAAGTGAGGATAAATGTTCCCACCAAGTGATTTATAATTACAAAGAGAGTTGGTTGGCTGGTTAGCATTCCGATGCTGGATAAGAGGGTGTTTCTTTAAAATCCTGCTAAGTAGATGTAAACATTAAGCCTACAATCTCGCCCCCCCTCTCCTCATCCCTAAATTCACTTTCACTTTTTCATAATGGCATAGGGATATGGGGTGGCCTAAGACAAAGTGCATCGCCCCCTAAGTAATTTGAAAAGAACCAGAAAAAACTGGAACAGAGTGGCATGGAAAAAATAACAACAAAACAAAAACACACAACATTAAACACTTCACAGAGACCAACAAGAAACAACAACAACCAAACACCCAAAAGATAATGTGGTGGGGTGGGTGCTGGGAAGTGTATGAAGAAGCTATGCCACATAATGACTGTGTTAATTGCTTTGCAGCCATAAAAACAACAACAACAACAAGAACATATAATAATTTCAATAAGAACAACAACATTATTGTTGTTGTTGTAGCGCATAGTTGGCGGCATCTTATGGTTCATGGTTGTTCGTTCGTCCATTCATTCATTCATGCCACCAACCATCGCCATAATCTACGATCTGTCCTGTTGCCTGTCGATTTGTTGCATCTTTATTGTAATATTTGTTTTATGTTATTTTGCCGATGCTCTTGTTGTTGTTGTCAATATTGATTGGTTTTTCCAAATACAATCCCCTGTCAAGAGCAGGGTATTTTGTGGTTGGTGCCTTCAATTTATTGTTTTGCATAGGGTCTTGCAACAACAGTTGCCGCCACCATTGCGGTGGCAAGTATGCTGTTGTGCCTCATTGCACATTATTTTTATTTTGCTTTTACTTTCGTTGTCTTAAGTGATCGTCTTTAGAATTGTTGACTTTTTTGAAATGTCTAAAAAGTTATACACACGAGACTTCTGTAAAATCTACGCCTATGAATGGACCATAAAATTGTTTTTTTTAATCCACACATATGATCAGATCTTAAAAAAAAATAAAAAAATAGTTTTTAAAAAATCCACTCCTATGGACAGACCTTTAAAAATATTTTTAAAAAGATCCACGCCTATGCCTGCTCCTTTAAAATATATTTTTAAAATGTCACGCCTATTGCCGGACTCACGGCCCCAGCAAAACTTTCAGAAGTGCTTTTAAAATTTAAAACCAGTAAGGAAAATAGTAAAGTCGGACGGGGCCGACTATATGATACCCTTCACCACTTTAGGTATATTCAACAGATGAATCCTAACGGATGTCGCATTTTTGAAGGACAAGTAAAATGAAATTGGATCCTTAAACATGTCATTCTACAAGCTGTACTAAATTTTTCATTTGGTCAGAAATAGAGTTGCTTCTTACAACGACAAAATTATGTTGTGCAATATTTTGTGCCAATCGGACCCACCTGGTTAGTTTGGTGCAAAATCTTGGTTATACTAACTTCGGTACGTTGTGCAATTTCGTGTAAAATCGGACGAAAACATGTATGTAGAAGCTATATCTACATCTGAACCGATTTCAACGAGACTTACAAGAGATTAATTTATATTAACAACAGTTCATTGCAAAAAATTGTGTGGCAATCGGACAAACTGTGGGTCTTTTAGTGCACAATGGGAGCTATATCTAAATCTGAACCGATTTTCATTAAATTTAACACACATCACTATAGATTTAATTTAGTACGCTATGCCAAATTTCGTGCAAATCGTAGGATATGTAGGAACTTGGGTGCAATATTTATCTAAATCGGACGAACATATATACGGGAGCTATATCTAAATCGGAACCGATCTTAACGAAACTTAACACACATCACGTTAGACTTAATTTAGTACGCTATGCCAAATTTCGTGCAAATCGAAGGATATATAGGGACTTTGGTGCACTATTTATCTTAAATCGGACGAAGATATATACGGGAGCTATATCGTAATCTGAATCGATTTTCATGAAACTTTGCACATATCATTCTAGCCTCAATTGAGTACACCGTGCCAAATTTCGTGCAAATCGAAAGATATATAGGGGCTTTGGTGCACTATTTACCTTAAATCGGACGAAAATATATATGGGAGGTATATCTAAATCGGAACCGATCTTCACGAAACATAACACATATCACTCTAGACTTAATTTAGTACGCTGTGCCAAATTTCGTGCAAATTGAAGGATATATAGGGACTTTGGTGCACTATTTACACAAAATCGGACGAAACTATATATGGGAGCTATATCTAAATCGGAACCGATCTACACGAAACTTAACACACATCACTTTAGACTTAATTTAGTACGCTATGACAAATTTCGTTTAAATCGAAGAATATATAGGGACTTTCGTGCACCATTTACATAAAATCGGATGAAAATTCGTGCAAATCGAAGTATATATAGGGACTTTGGTGCACCATTTACATTAAATCGGATGAAAATATCTATGGGAGCTGTATCTAAATCTGAACCGATTTTTCCCAATTTCAATAGAATTCGTCCTTGGACCAAACAAATAAGATGTGCCAAATTTCATCCAATTCGGATCATAAATGCGACCTGTACATTGTTTACAATTTAACATGGATAGACAGGCGGATGGACGGACGGGCAGACGGGCATGTATAAATCGACTTAGAAAGTGATTCTATGCATATTCTCAAAAGGAACCATGTGTCTATCTCGTTTCCTTTTGCCTGTTACAAACATATGCACAAAGAGATAATACCCTGTACTACAGTGTGGTGAAGGGTATAAAAAATCGAGGCCTATAGCTAGACCTTTAATAAATTATTTTAAAAAATCAACGCCTATTTTACAATAACTTTCACATAAATTTAATTGGTTTTGAATTAAAGTAACCACTAGAAAATAATCGTCACTCACTAAGGACCATTCCCAAGAAAATTTACGATGGGAAAATATAAATATAAACAAAACAAATATATATTTTTTTGTAATCAATTGTTTATATATATGTATATATTCCATTACACGTGATTGTAATGTTTGTGTTGTTGTATTTTCTCCCAAAATACCTCGAAAGAAATAAACTTCCAATACCTCCCAGAAAATCTAAACAAAAAAATTATTATTGGGAATTCCAACAACTCCCTAAATAAACAAATGGGGAAATTGACCTCAATTTTTGCAGTATTGACAGGTTGTTGGGTGGTTGCTGTGGTGGATTGGGGAAAAATGTAAACAAATTTCATTTTTTATAGTTTCGGATGTGAAAATCGAATGCATTCCCTTATGTACGATGTGGATTTAGTGGTTTATTTTTAAGAAAAATAAACAATAAACCACATTACAACATACATATATATGTGTGTGTGGGGAATAAACTAAAACAATTGGAAATCTAGATTAGTGGATTATTTAGAAAAAAGAAAATCTAACAAATGAAAAACCAAAACTAGAGCAACATTTCAATTTTGTATAAACAATCAACATTTTAATCTGAATTTACATACACATACATATATATGTAAATGTAAACAAATACATGTAAAATAACAACAAATTGTTTTACAAAAACATAAATACAATTCTATATATATATAGTGCACACACTTTATATGTAAACCTATTAATTTCTATCTGCACGAGATTTCAAACTATTTGCATTCCCAGACAAGTTGCAATCGATCCAAAACTGGGTTGTGTGTGTGAAAATTGATTGCAGGACAAACAACAAATAGAAATACCACAACATAATCGAATTGATAACAACCTCTTGAGTTATTACACTTAACGACAATGATCGATCTATCGATTTCGAATTTATGACCTTCTTGCCTGTCATTTTGATTTTCATCTCAAGTCAAAGAAACATTTATTTACATTTCTTAATTGCAATAAATAAACAAACAAAACAGACAAAAATTCTTAAAATAATGAAATCTGTCAAACCATCCATCCACAGCCAAACAAATGTCAATGGCTTGTAAATGAGTTTCGTAAATACAACCATACAAATATATTTTTGGATGGCGGTGGGATTATTTTCCAATTGTAATATTTTATCTGTCTCATTAATGATTTATATTCCGCAATTAATGGCCGCTTGGAACACCCTTGGCACAAAGGGGTATATGGCGAAATTGTCAATTTCCCAACATGTTGTTTTTTTTTACAAAACTATTTTTAGAAAAAAAACCAATGAAAATCTGTTTCATTTTTCATAATTTCGCCGCCAGCTTGTCGTACGCATGCCATGCCATCCTCTTGGTCTTGTTGGTCACCTTATTCCACTTTCCGTGTGGTTTGCGACATTTCTTTTTTATTTTTGTTGTTCTCTGGCGTCAGATCATAAACTAAATTATTGTATTTTGAACACATTTTTTTTTGTATTTTTTTTTTTGGCTTTCCATATCACAGAAAAATTTTTGCTGTGTGGACAGCAAACATTTGGGGTCCGACGCCCGACATCACGAAGAAAAAATCTGCTAATGACAGCACGCACTTTATGAGCGGGCCATGACACAACAACCGAAGGAAAACACGAGCAAAATTAAAAATAAAAAACCAAAAAATAAACTATATATAATTGGCCAAAAGTATGTTTTTTTTCGATATATATACGACTAATTAACGGTATAAAAAAACTATGTGGAAAATTTTTTCAAAAATGTTAAAACAATTTAAAAATTTTTGGAAAAATTATTCAGCTCAAATTTCCCCAATGTTATACCTGTGATTCCTTAAATGTATTTTTTAGAAGTTTTAATATAGGAATGGTTTTTTTTAAATTTTTAGAGGTCCTGTTTTAGCTGTGTATTTTTTTAATACATTGGGTTCAATTTTAGGCGTGTTTTTTTTTAAATATTTGTTAGAGGTTCTATATAAGGCGTGAAATTTTTAAACGTCCAGCTATGGGGTGGATTTTTTAAACGTCCAGCTATGGATGGATTTTTTAAAAATAATTTTAAAGGTTTAGGCGTGGATTTTTTAAAAATATATTTTAAACGTCCAGATATTTTCCAAATGTCCAGCTGTGGGACTGGGTGTTTTAAAATTATAGTACAAAGGTCCTTATATAGGAACGGATTTTTATAAATATTTTCAATGTATATATTTTAAAGGTCTGGATTTTTGTTTAACCCTTTCAGTGTCAAAGAAAAATTTTGTCGAAATAAAAATCTAACATTTTGTATTTAAAATCATATAAAGGGACATAATTTAGAAAAAATAGCAATTGTTATTTTAATCCTTGGCCAGTTTCGTCTGTCTTCCAGCAAAAACAAAAACATCAATAGTAACGGTACATAGGATAACCGAAAAATCGCAAAGAAAGAGAGTACTTTTAAATGTCGAATATATTCGACAAAAACACTGAAAGGGTTAAGTTTTTAAAAATATTTTTCAAAGGTCCTGAAATAGACATTTTTTATAAAAAAAAAAATTATTAAGGCCGGGATAAATATCAGTTTTTTCCATGAAACATTTTCTTAAGCCTAGGTAAATATAATTGTTCACTATAGAAATCTATTCAACACCGCTGAATATAAAAATTTCTTTATAAAAATTTATTCAACTATGCTGAATAGAAGTTTTTTATAAGGAACATTTTTTGAGCTATGCTGAATGGACGTTTTCCTACAGAAAACTTTATTCAGCCAGACTGAATGAAATTTTTCCTATAGAAAACTTTATTCAGCCAGTCTGAATGGATGTTTTCCTATAGAAAACTTTATGCACCCAACTTGAATGGATGTTTTCGTATAGAAAACTTTATTCAGCCAGGATGAATGGTTGTTTTCCTGAAATAAAACTGCATTCAGCTGGACTGTATATAAATTTTCTATAGAAAAACATTTATTCAACCTGCTTGAATAAAGTTTTCTATGGGATAACTACTATCCAGACAGCTGAATACAGTTTTCTATGGGAAAACTTCTATTCAGCCTAGCTGAATACATTTTTCTTTGGAGAAACTCCTATTCAGCCTATCAGAATACAGTTTTCTATGGGAAAACTTCTACTCAGCCTAGCTGAATACAGTTTTCTATGGGAAAACTTCTATTCAGCCTAGCTGAATACAGTTTTCTATGGAAAAAACTACTATTCAACCAGCTGAATACAGTTTTCTATTCAACCCAGCTAAATACATTTTTCTTTGGAAAAACTCCTATGCAGCCTATCAGAATACAGTTTTCTATGGGAAAACTTCTACTCAGCCTAGCTGAATACAGTTTTCTATGGGAAAATTTATATTCAGCCTAGCTGAATACAGGAAAACTTCTATTAAGCTTAGCTGAATACATCTTTCTTTGGGAAAACGTATATTCAGCCTAGCTGAATATAGTTTCCTATAGGAATACTTCTATTCATCCTAGCTGAATACGGTTTTATATAAGAAAACTTCTATTCATCCTAGCTGAATACAGTTTTCTATAAGAAAACTTCTATTCATCCTAGCCGAATACAGTTTTCTATAAGTAAACTTCTATTCAGCATAGCTGAATACAATTTTCTATAAGAAAAACTGAATAGAAGGAAATTCATCATAGTAAAATAAAGTTTTCTTTATGATATCTTTAATTCAACTTGACTGTCTACAAGAAATCAATAATTCAGCATAGCTTAATATCGGTTCCATTAGAAAAACAATTATCAGCATAGCTGAATATTGATTTTTGATTTAATTTTGTCGTCCTTTCAAATATCATCCTTTCATTGGAACTCCCCATTACTGTTCGTAGAGTGCACTTTGTTAAAAAACACATGCTGGCTTTTTTAAAGAAAATCTTGGCCCAAAGCCAACAATTTTAAGTGTTTTGTGTCATAAAGAGTTATGGATAATTTTTCACGATGAAATTCACAAAATAAAAGGGGTTCATGTAAAAATAGATGCGAACATCGTTTTGTATATGAAGTCACAAAGAACAAGGAACAACACATGGTTTACAACAAAGTTTTGAAATTCAAAATAATACTTTTTTGAGAAAAAAATCCATTTTTATACTTACAAATAATTGATCATATTTTTCACTATAAAAGCTAATTGGATTGTCCAAATGCCAGACGAGGAATTCACTATCACCATAGGGCAGACTTAAGACGGAATCATCCGGACCGGCAGTGTACAATTCATTGAAATGCAGGCTATCCAAAACATGGCAGGACGCTGGGGAAATGCTGAATGTGGCAAGTAGTAAAACGGAAATACACAAATATTGTGTGGCAGTTTTTATGTTTGTTTCAAACATTTTCAAATTTTATTTTATTTCGATTTTTTCTTCAAAAATTTAACACAAAAAAATCAATTCCTTCACAAAATTTACTGCATTATTTTCTTGTTTAGAAAAATTTTATATTTTTTTCAAAATGTTGCAATTTTTTTTTTCTTTTTTACTTTTTGTCTGTACAACACTTTTTTGAAAGTGGTTTTTAAAAATAACTTCACTTTTTTCGTTAGAGTTTCTTTCTTTTCAGTGTCTTAATTGGATATTTTATTTTATTTTTTAAGTTTTATTTTATTTTTTTCGGATCTATGGTCCGATTAGCGTTGTACACGCTCTTGCTACACTTTTGCAACTGAAAGATCTGTGGAAACTGCTGATCCTCAAAAACTCATCAACGATCGAAAAACGAAAGCGAATGAACGAAAGAACGAACGGATATCTCAGTTCGCGGTTGGATGAATTACAACAACGTTCATTCATTCGGCGATTCATTCAGTTATTCTTTCACTTCATTTCACACGATGGAAGAGAAAATAAACCCCTACATACAAACAAACATACTCCGGGTACATGCATGCAATAAATAGACAAAAAGAGATTTCAAATGGCATAAAGCTCTCTTAGGTTGTAATAATGTTTGGCATAACGGTATATTTCTGTGTTTTTTTTTTTTTTCTTTTCAAGCACTTACATTTCGCTAGGGATTACACGCAGACGTACACACACACACTCCTACTTACATACATATATATCTATGTATCCATGCAATAGGTTCTTGTTGTCGGCATTCTCTTTTCATGTTTTCGTTATTTTGTTCTTCTCATTTATAGCCGGTTGTCACTTTTATTGACAATTTACCAGACCCATACCGAAGACCATTGCCATCTCTCGAACAGCAGAAAACTATGATTTAGGCTGCCACCAACCCAGCACCCCCACCCACAACAACAACAGATACGCATTAAAAGGGTGTTGTTGCTGTTTCATTCTGAAGACATTACGACACGCCAAATATGTCAAATGCCCATTTTATCATCGCGCCCTAGACAGAAGCATGCATAGCCGATATTCGGATTTTGTCAACAATGTCAATAATAATTTATTGTGTGGAGGCGCCAAGGACAAAGGCAACATAAAATATGTATTTGGAAGTGGAGACATGGCAATTCATATTTTTGTTTTTCAAATTCTTAACGCATTTTTATTTCACCACTTGGGAAGAGATTTGTTGGGAACCACTTAGATATAATGGGGGCAATTTTAAAAATTAGAGGCCAATAAATAGACTATAATACCAAAATTGGTTGTGATTGCAGATCTATTCACCCCACCCTCCAAAAAAAGTGAAGTATTGTGGGAAATGGGATAATTAAATTTAATAAAGTGCACACTGAACCCAAAGCCATATTCGTGGATACCTTAAAAATATTTCCTAGAAGTTTAAACATACTCTTCACCACACTGTGATACAGGGTATTATGTTTGTGAACAGACAAAAGGAAACGAGATAGACACGGGGTTCCTTTTGAGAATATGCATAGAATCTCTTTTTTTGTTAAATTGTAAAGAAAGTACAGGTCGCATTTTTGATTCGAATTGGATGGAATTTGGCACAGCTCATTCATTTGGCCCAAGGACGAGCCCTATTGAAATTGGTTCAGATTTAGATATAGCTCCCATATTGGCACAGCGTACTGAATTATGACTAGAATGATGTGTGCAAAGTTTCGTGAAAATCGGTTCAGATTTAGATATAGCTCACATATATATTTTCGTCCGATTTAAGGTAAATCGTGCGCCAAAGACCCAAATATCATTCGATTTGCACGAAATTTGGCAAAGCGTACTGAATTAAGCCTAGAGTGATGTGTGTTAAGTTTCCTAAAAATCGGTTCAGATTTAGATATAGCTCCCATATATATTTTCGCCCGATTTAATGTAAATGGTGCACCAAAGTCCCTATATATATTTCGATTTGCACGAAATTTGGCAAAGCGTACTGAATAATGTCTAGAAAGATGTGCGTTAAATTTCGTAAAAATCGGTTCAGATTTAGATATAGCTCCCATATATATTTTCGTCCGATTTTATGTAAATGGTGCACCCAAATTCCTATATATCTTTCGATTTGCACGAAATTTGGCATAGCGTACTGAATTAAGCCTAGAATGATGTGTGTTATATTTCGTAAAAATCGGTTCAGATTGAGATATAGCTCCCATATATATTTTCGCCCGATTTTATGTAAATGTTCCACCATACTCCCTACATATCTTTCGATTTGCACGAAAATTGGCATAGCGTACTGAATTAGGTCTAGAAAGATGTGTGTTATATTTCGGATTTAGATATAACTCCCATATATATTTTCGTCCGATTTTATGTAAATGGTACACCAAAGTCCCTATATATCTTTCGAGTTGCACGAAATTTGGCATAGCGTACTGAATTAAGCCTAGAATGATGTGTGCAAAGTTTCGTGAAAATCGGTTCAAATTTATATATTGCTCCCATATATATATTCGTCCGATTTTATGTAAATGGTGAACCAAAGTCCCTATATATCTTCCGATTATCACGAAATTTAGCAAAGTGTACTGAATTAAGTCTATAAATATGTGTGTTAAATTTCGTAAAAATCGGTTCAGATTTAGATATAGCTCAAATATATACCAAAGTCCCATATATCTTTCGAATTGCATGAAATTTGGATTTATAAGTAAATGAAGAACTCAAAATGTGGCCGAATGCAAAAAGCATACTGAAATAAGTGTAACCTAAGATGTGACAAGTTTCGATGAAATAAAGTCCAGTCTTATGGGTGGATTTTTTAAAATTATTTTTTAAAAGTCCAGCCTTAGGCGTGGATTATTTTAAATTATTTTTTAAAGGTCTAGCTATAGGCGTCTATGTTGATGCTTCTTGGCTCATTTCGCAACCTAAGTGTCTGAAATTTAGCATTCCCGATTCATTTGTATAAAAATCTCCTTCTGTTTTGGTTAGTCCCCCATATATGGGTCGCCACGATGTCTGAGATGTGAAGTCGGACAAGAAAAGGGATTGTAAACATTTTCCTTTTTGTTTAATTTATTATTTCCAAGAAAATATATGGGAACATCAAATTCCAACTATCACCTGTTATATTTTCACACCTTCCAAATAAGATTAGAATATTTCCAATGGAGCATAATTCAGAATTCATAGTAAGTGGCCTTAGGTAATATTTCATATTTTTGTTGTGTGCGTGTGTGTGAATCCCTTTTGATGTAGAATACTTATGCTCCAAATTCGCTGAAAATCCAAACATCTGGCTATAATGAAAACAAAACGGTGAGGAGAGGAGACAAAGTCAATTCAGAAGACAGGCGGTGGACGACACACTTCTGCTGCGGATGTTTTTCTTTTCTCATAATTTTGAAATATTGAATAAATATCAGATTAAATGATTTGCATGCCAAACAGACAGGCAGGCAAACTAACCAACCAGACTGCAAACTCCCAGTATTTTCGTGTAAACATACATACACACATGATGTTTGTCGGAATACAAATCCATACATTTACTACGGATGGTGGGGGAATGATATTTTTCAGCTGGATTTATGAGAATGCAAACATATACTCAGCGGTGAGTGAATGCAGTCTTCTGGGAGTGTGAAAGTTTCCGGAGCTGATCTTCAACATGTGTGCCCTTTTCAATTTCCAATTTTCGCTGTGTTCTCGGCAACTCCAATAAATACATTGCATTTGGAAATTTATGTACAACTCGAGTGTATGAGGAAATTAGAGCATCACTTCTTTCCTTTCCTTGTTTTTTTGGTTGGTGGGTGGGGAAATAGCGTTCATACGTATGTTTGCAACCTGCAGACAGGAAATCTAAATATTCTGTGAAGCTGAAGATGATTCACAATTTTCAAAACCCCAAAAAATAAATTCATTTAATTACATTCAGCTGCCGAAAAATGTGTTTCTTTGTTTGTCATTCACTTTGATGGATTTGTCGAGAAGAAATACATTTTTTGGGGATTATATTATGGTGTGGTTGCGGTGTTGTTGTTTCGGTTGTAAATTTACAACATATGTGAAACAAAGATTTTCCTTGAAAAGTCAAGGAGTTCTAATTAGTTTAGTTGTGGTTGTCTGGCTATGGCCATCAAAAATCTATTTTAAGGTACTTCATTAGAATATGTTTTTTGAAATTTCCATTTTAGATAAATTGGGGTTAGGGTCGTCGTCATAAGATGTTATGTTATTTTTGTCGCGTGCTTAAGTGAGATTATCTCCCACCTAGCGTTTACATAAACGTGGGGGACATGATCTATGTCATGTCTTCGTGTGATCTTTGAAGTATAACATCAATCAATCAATTGGTATTCTCATTAAAATTCTATTAGATTATCTAGAGTGTTATTAGAATATGAAAGTATTTTCATGTTTGGAAAAACCCTTGGATATTGTGAGATTCCTGCAGTTTGGGATCCTGACCTGGAAATTATGTCAAAATTGAGAACTCTGTAAAACAATTTCAAAAAAGTCTGGGAGGATTTTTTTCACCAAGAATCCAGAAAGTCAACCTAATTCAAAGTTCGTGCAAATCGAAAGACATATAGGGATTTTGGTGCCCCATTTAACTTAAGTCGGACGAAAATATATATGGGGACTATATCAAAATCAGAACCGATTTTCTCGAAACTTAACACACTTAATTCTAGACTCAATTTAGTACACTATACTAAATTTCGTGCAAATCTAGAGTTATAAAGGGACTTCGGGGCACCATTTACATAAAATCGGACGAAACTATGTACGGGAGCTATATCTAAATCTTAACCGATTTTCACGAACCTTAGCACACATATATAGCGACATTGGTGCCCCATTTACCTTAAGTCGGATGAAAACATATATGGGAGCTATATCTAAATCTGAGCCGATTTTCTCCAATTTGAATAGGGTTCGTCCTTGGGCCAAATAACTGATTTGTGCCAAATTTGATTCAAATCGGATCATAAATGTAACCTGCACTTTATTTGCAATTTAATATCTAC